GTGGGCTAAACGTTTTTGCCCGCACGGAGATCGATTCGTTTCGAATCTATCAAATTTTTTTTATTAATTTTTTAAATTTATTAATTTTTTTAATGAAAAAAATTATAAAAAAACAAACGGGCATGTTAGATGTTTTTTATTCATTTTTTAAAGAGGAGACGAAGGATGTCAGTTATGTAATAAAAAAAATTTTGAACAATATGTAGCAAAGAATACACGAAGTGTATAGTTGGAATAAAATAAAAAAATTTATTGGAAAATAACTATTTATTTTTTAAAACATTAGATGCGTATTTAATTATTCGCCTTGGAAAATCGTTAATTTCGTGTTCCGCACACGAATACGATTTTTTACATCGTACATTTTTTCGCTTTCGTGCTTTAAGCGTTTATCCACGTAATTTTGAACTATCATAAAAATAATTTTATGATGATGATCAGATAATGGTTCTTGTTCGAAATTGTGTGTGTCATTTTTGAAAACACAAGGTGGTAAAATTTTAAGCGTCTCTGAAACTAAGGAAAAATTAATATTTTTACTTAAAAGTAAGTCCTTATATCGCCTTAAAATTTGTTCTGTATAGTAGCATACTATAAACACATCATCTGAAGCAATATTTAAACCACCCTTATTCTTTAACACTGTCAATTTTGACGCAACTGATACATCATTTTGTAGCAAATTTAAGCACTTGATGCAATGTATTTTTTTTTTATCGAGTACACTACCGCTCCGGCCACATGTCTAATTATGTCGTCCAAATATTCCGATTGAACCTACGTTTCTTCGTGAACATAATCGTGATTAAGCAAGTGACTGTGCTTATGCAAAAAATTCTCAACGGGAAATGAGGGAGCGGTGCGCGAAGATTTGATTTTTTTACTCGCCGGTAGTTTTGTAGTTGTGAGAGAGGAAGTGCAGGCGTTTGTTGAGATATCACTAACGATATCAGATTTCGCGAATAATGGTGCATCAGTTGCGTTCGATATCATTAACGTCTCGTCCTGAGGTATGCAATTAGCTGATGATGGCACTAAAATATTTGTATTGTTTAATAATAGTTTTTTATAACTGTCTTTCAATCTTTTTTTTTCACAGGAATGTCTTCAATAACATCACTTGTTGGACCTTTTCTAAAAAAATTAATACATAAATAAGTTAAAATTTCATAAATACGTCAAATTTTACATTAAATAAACATCAAAGTATTGTTACCTATTACTGTCTTGGTCTTCAACATCAGCGTGTGAAGATATGGATGCATTTAAATCAGACACTGTTTCTTTGATTTGTTCAACTTCTTTGTGTACCATCAACAATGAAGAAGAATCGAGTTCAGTTCCAATTTCTTTTAGATTTTCCTCAACTTACATATTTACACACTCAGACTTTTCTAAGTTTAAGTTGGTCCGTGCATCACAAATTGTTGTGTTATTCTCCACTTGAATATTTGTTTTGATGGAATCCACTGACTTGTTTACAGGAATAGCACCTGGCACCAATCGTCTGACTTTTGTATAGCTATCTGTTTGATGAAATGCATCATCGTTAAAATGATCATTACATATTGTAGCACTTTTTGTGATGGATAAAAGTCCAAATACAGACATCCATTTTGTCTTTGTATATTGTCACTTGGAAACCTGGATTTTGTGAGATAATTGTATAGTTGATAAACAGAAACATAACCAAAATGTTCTCAAACAATATTAATGTCACATTTAATTTATGTTGTACGTACTTGTGAAAACTGCTAGAGTTACCAGGAATGTGGAACTTCTTGCAAACTATGCAAATTATGGGCATCCTGCACGTGTATTATTGAACTTTTATTTTAAAATGTATGATACTAACGTGTAGTTAGTATTACCGCTTTGCCCCTTAAAGCTGCTGTCTGCTCTGTTTTTCTTGTTGCACTTATCCCTCTCCCGCCTACCTAAGGTGGAAGTATATCTATATATGCAGAAACGTACTAAATCGAGTTCAGAAGCTCCAAGGATGTTTCGCTTTCTTTACATCTCGCGTTTCTAAGACACGAAAATATCATTAGAATAAAAGGAAAATAACGCGCGTGCCTAACGACAGCCCAACGACAGCTGACGTTGTCAGCTAATCGCAGATAATCGCCTCTCGCGAGCGACAATATATCGTATATATGATATATATATATGTGTTATATATTATATAACATTATATAACATTATATAACATTATATAACATCATATATATATATATATTATATTTATATTCAACACAGTCTGACGTAGTTAATCTTATTCTATCTTTACGGGTCATTGCGATAAACTTGTTGCCATCTCGAGCGAGAATAATCCAAATTTCATGAGGACGAGAATAAATTATATTACTATTTCATTTTATTTTCTTACCTCTTTCCTTACAATATTGTTATTCCACTTAAATATATATATATATATATATATATATATATATATAACATCATATAACATCATATAACATCATACATATATATATATAAAGTCTATCTTTATAAAATAATTATAATAACACGAAACAGTATCCATACTTCAACACAATCTGACGTAGTTAATCTTATTCTATCTTTACGGGTCATTGCGATAAACTTGTTGCCATCTCGAGCGAGAATAATCCAAATTTCATGAGGACGAGAATAAATTATATTACTATTTCATTTTATTTTCTTGCCTCTTTCCTTACAATATTGTTATTCCACTTCAAAACTATGTAAAACCTTCTCACCTTTCCTCTCGGCTTAATTAGCTGCTAAGCGTGGCGGAGCCGCTGTTGTTACGCATGTCGCGGTCCGTCCAGGATGTCACAATATATTATTATAGTTTTTTATTTTAAATGTATTTCAAGTGGTATCTCAAACCGGCTGCCGTTCTCTGCGTTTTTTTTTCCAAGATGACGTACGTTTATATATATGTAGTTCATATATATATTATGGATACCGATTCGTGTTATCATTATTACTTTAGAAAGGTAGACTTTCAATGTCGGCTGGTTCAATATAGTAGATTGAAAGAAGTACTTTGCCCTTGAAAGAAGAGGGAGGCAGGCTGCAGGGCTGAGATTTCGCACAATATCTGGCATTTGCCGATGTACCACACGGATTTTCTCAGAGATGCGATTTCTCGTGATTGAATGGGTACCGAGGTGACCCTTCACTAAGAACCGCGAAGGTTGAAAAGCAGACCGATACTCAAAGTTTAGAACTGGATCTGACAACTGACGACTTGGGACTCTGAACTTGGAATTCGGAACTGACTGCTTAAAGACGAGATTTTTATTTATAAGCTCGTCCTAGTTTCCCTCTTCTTTCTGCAACTGCAATGGTCAGCATTTTCGAGGGGAATACCAACGGACTTAGTGTTCCACGGTGGTCTTACGTTTACAGAGATAAGACGAGAGACGAATCATGCACATCCGTTCTTACGGAGCGGAAAAATTTAGTTTATCTAAATCGCACATGATATCTAAAAATCGCATAATATAACCCATTTTACACACCGAGCATGATCGGTGGGAAAATAAGGTCAGAAGGCGCGGGATTATCGGATCAATTTTGAATTTTAATACAATAATAGAAATGATGGAAGTTATGAGATTTTCTATAAATGGTAAGTGACGCCGAGACTAGGCTTTCGCGCGCTAATAAGTCACGGAGCCCTCAAGGCTGATCCTTGAAGTGATTCTTATTTTGCTTAAATTTTGGTGGTCAGTCTGCTTAACGATACTTCTGCTATTCGGCGGCAGTGACTGCCGGATCTAATTTAATTGAATTTAATAAGCTCGAAAAGCGGTAAGTAAAAGGTGTGAATTATTTTAATGAAACAAAATATAACAACGATACGGTCGGAACTACAAACTAACTTATAATTGATTTTGGAAGCAGAAACGGTATGATGTCAACAGGCAGCTACCGGGATATTATTAGAATATTACGTCTAATATTCTAAGGATATGCCCAGAATATTACTTAAAATTAAATAATATTACGCGCTTATAGGGACTGTACTTACTTATCATGAATGTGATAATCTCCTTTTCTACAATAATCTCTAAACCTAACGTATAAAATGCGATTAGATATTTTTCAGTTTGAGATTACAGGATTTGAAGATCAGGAAAATTAGGGAAATATTCCGTCTGTTCCACGAAAGAACTATTGTATAATTTATAATTTATATTTATACATTGAAACATTGAGAAAAATTTCCACCGGATAAACGGATTAAATGACTAATCCGATTGTTATTTTTGTTGTCCGACCGACTGATATTTTTATCTAATGAAATGCAGTTACCGATAAAACCTAATCGGAGAATCAACCGCCCTTTGTGTATCCGTTTAATTTCCGTCAGATAAAAAGCACGACTTGATCGATGATATTACGGTGTAATCGGACATTGCATCGTTGTAATTTGATCGGATGAATAAGAAGCGATGACGCAATATTCGATCAAACATTATCTGATGAAAAATGATGACTGCTGACGTTATAATGATATCTGATGAAGTCAATTAGCAAACAGATTGATATCCGGTTTTATATTGAAATCGATCGGGTAATCTCAACGAATGTTGCCAAGGAGTAGAGATATAGGCAACACCGTAAAAGCGTGGCTATTGAATATGCATGATTATTACGTTATTCGGATATCATACGTCATTGAATTTGAAACAATCTCTAGTGAAGTATTTTTGTCGTGGCGTAACTCTCTCGTTTGTTTCATCTTACGATTTTTACAAGAATACAAAGAGAACAGAGAAGATTACACAATGTATGACATATTATAATTACGTCGTATATTAGAAGAGATTGGTGTAGAAGAGGAGGTTATTACATTGCTGATAAGTAAGTTCAGTTCCTATAAGCGCGTAATATTATTTAATTTTAAGTAATATTCTGGGCATATCCTTAGAATATTAGACGTAATATTCTAATAATATTCCGGTAATAGTGTTTAATATTAAGTAATATTTCTGGAATATTAATAAATGATTATATGCCCACTCCTAATAATATTAAAAAAAATAATATTATTTAATGTTATTGTAATATTATATATTTTTTAAGTATTTAACTCTATATATATATATATATNTATATATAGAGAGAGAGAGAGAGAGAGAGAGAGAGAGAGAGATAAAATATATATATTATATATATTTTTAAGTATTTAACTCTATATATATATATATATATATATATAATATATTGTTACGTCCCGAGGTATCCCGGAACTCCCTCCTCCCCCTGTTTTCTATCGCTCTTCTTTTTCGTTCTCCCTTCCCTACATTCTTCTTTCATCCTTGTAGCTGCCTGTTGACACCGTACCGTTTCTGCTTCCAAAATCAATTATAATGTTAGTTTGTAGTCCCGATCGAATATTTGTTTCATTAAAATCTCGTTGTTATATTTCATTAAAATAATTCACACCTTTTACTTACCGCTTTTCGTATGTTGACCATAAACCGTCTATGTTATACGTAAAATTATATATTTCATATAGTCTTTAAAAATATAAACATCTCAGGTCTAAGTTGTAATATATATATTACGAGAGCATATAATAATTCTTTCGTGAAGAATAAGTGGAGAATATTAAGAAGATATATATGTTATCTTCGATCTCTTATGAAATGGACTATTTCTAAGATTTTGTGTAAAAATTTGTAAATTGATTCTTCTTGATTGTTTTGCATTTTCTTTCCTTTTTCTTCCTTTTATTCCTTTTTATAAGGTATTAAGATGCGATTGCCAAACAATATGTAATTCACAAAATATTCCACAGAAATAAAGATTTCTTTGGATTTAATAAAATTTATTCAATCGAAACTTTTTCCGAAAAATATTAAAGAAATTCTTTGTTTCAGTGGAATAATATTTAATACATAATCCTAGATAGAATCTTTTTTGGCGATCATGTTTCGTCACAATGTGATGGCTATATTATAACTTCAACTTAATATCTTTTTAAATATACGTCATTAACATGACACGAGCACAAAATGTAGACAAACAATATGTAAATGTGTTGTGCATGTTCTTGACTTGATTTTGACTAATATTATTAGATGCCACTAGACGTATCATTAGATAAGATATTTTTCTGACATTATTTGAACAACATATTTTGGAGATCATGTTATATCAAGATACGAACACGAATGCTGAACACTACATGATATCATATGCTATCATTTTGCTTTCTGGGATCAAGTAAATTTTTCTCTCATTGGAAGTCCAATATTATTTCGTCTAAATAATACTGTTTTTTCTATCAAACAATATGGTTTACTTTAGTAAAACAACATTTTCTTGATATTTCAACATTAAATTATTATTTCTTATTTTCCTCGTAACCTTTTCGAGTCAAGGACGTTATTTACCATGCAAGTTGTATAAATGTACTTAAACAGAACAGGCAAATAGAACGTAAAACTGAGTACATAATAAGTATTAATTAATTAATCAAATATTAATTAAAGTGTTTATGACAATTATTTATTTTCCTACTAGATTCTTATGTTAAGCTATCTATCGAGGAGTCTAAAGGATATTTTACGTCGCAAATACTCCATCGCCAGTCGATGTGAAGAATGGCAACTACTAATTAGAAAGTGGTATTTTGGGTTGCACTGACGTGTTTCGATCGACAGTTATTGTCACCAAACAGTTAAAAGGAGTTGAGGGGAGCGGCCGAATGTTGTAATTATTCATCGATCATTCAGAACCACTAACTACAGCCAGCCGTGATTTGATATTTTTCTAATGTCAGCCGATCGGTATAGCCAATCTGTGGTCAATAGAGATGTGGTCAATCTCACCCAAAGTTGGACAAATTTCGCAATCGCAACTATTTATTACAATCGCAACTGCATTTTGTAATTAATAGTTGCTATCTTTCGCGACTGCCGACGGGGCATTGTAAAATATTCTTAAGAATAAAATCGCATATTATCTCGCTCATTAATCGCAAGCCATGCCTTATTCTTGTAGTCTCCAGACCACACAGTAATTACGTATTGGAAGTGATATTTAGATATCGTAACATCTACATTCATATTACTTAAAAGGTTGCGGAAATTAACGAAGATAAGTTATCGTTTTGCAAATGAACCGCGAGTGGGAACGATTTTTTCCGTTATAAATGATGTACGGTGATCACAAAGGAATCAAAATAGGTGTGCGTGACAATTGTGTAGGATACAATTTCCTCGGTATCATTCATAGTTAAAACTATAGAACATAAATAATAACATTTAAAGTAACAAAATTGTGGTGCATGTCAGAGTTACGCAATAAAAATTGCGTAAGTAATTTGAGTAATATATATAATAATAATTGATTAATTTGAATAATATATATTAAACATGTACATTGAAATCGAAAAGTGCAAGGGCATGTATTTAAATATATAAATATATATTAAACGTTTGCCTAGCTAGTTTCTCACTTAATACAAAATGAATTGTACAAATACATAATTATACCTTATTTTTTTATGTCTTAGAGGGTAGTATAAGTTGGTGACTTCAATTTCATGGTGTAGTTAATAATTCAAGGTCATTTCTAAGTCAACTTCTTTTTTTTTTTCTTAAATGGAATCATGCTGTTTTTTTTTCACACAAATCAATTTCTCTATTCACTCTGCGTATAAAAGTGCTATAGTGAGATCATGGAAAAGTGAATATTATCGATATATTTTAATTTTCATTCTTCTAGTTTTCAATCTAAAATATGTTTTATATCGATTTGTTTTAACCCCTTGCCATACTTTGACAAGTCTGACTCGTGATGAGAATTTTGGACCAAATCTGTATATCACGTGTCTGGCTCTAATTTCTTATCAAATATGAATATCACGAGTCTGACTTGTTATTGACATTTCGAAACAAACATAAATATCACGTGTTAAACTAGTGGTCTTAATCTCAGATCTAAATCTCGGGTCAAGTATGAGTGTCTCCAATAGTCTTTGTTCCAATATTTTCCCTACTATTCGTGCGCATCACTTAGATTCGGATTCTTCCGAGTTAAATAGTATAGCAAAGGATAAGGAAACTATACAATCTTTTACTAATTACATGATTCCATTAAAACAAGAATCGTGTTGATCTCGAAATGAATCCTTGATCATGAATTATTGACTATGGAACGAAATTAAGGTGTGTGCGTGTGTGTGTGTTTGTCATCAACTTATATATTCTCTCAAACCCTATAACTTTTGTCCGGAACACTTCTCTTTATTTTGCTTTATTTTTTATATATTTCGATTTTTTAAATTAAGTGACTCATCCTATGTTATTATAAATTCAAATTATTAATATAATAAATATATTTTCATAGGATAAAATGGCGATAATTACGAATTACTTGATTTTGGACGGTATCATAGTTGCAACGATGATTGTGGTGACAATGTACCTTTACATGACTCGCAACTTCAACTACTGGAAGAAACGGGGCGTTTTCGAAATACCGCCGGTACCATTTTTCGGCAATTTCGCGAAATGTATGTCTCTAAAAAAGCATCCCGGTTATGTCATAAGAGACATGTATGGACAAATGAAAGAAAAACCTTACATGGGCTTTTATTTATTGGACCAGCCCTGCTTGTTGCTACGCGATCCAGAAGTGATCAAAGACATTTTCGTGAAAGACTTTAATTATTTCTGCGATCGAAGCACTTCGCCAGATTCGCATGATCGTTTAGCCAGCTCCTCGCTCGCATTTATAGATAATCCAGCTTGGAAAGTGTTGAGATCCAAACTGACGCCGTTGTTCACTTCGGGAAAACTGAAGAAAATGTTCGACTTGATGTTGAATTCTGCTAGCAAGCTGGACACGTATTTGGAATCTTTGGGATTAGAGAAATTGGAGGGTATATACTTTTGCCAAAATAAATAATCAAGTATAAAATGTCGAGGTATAACGTCACATAATTCGATTGTGAAATTTCAAAGGTTGAAAAGAGCTATTTGACTTTTACATGCAACTTAACATATTACTTAATGTCAATCGTTGCATCAATTCTATAAAAAATAATTAGCATAATTTCAACATGCATGTCTGTGTTTCTTTGTGACAATAATAATGCAATTAGAGTGCGATTAGAGAACATTGGTTGACTTACAGAATAATTTGACATATTTGCTGGCAGGTGAGGGGCACACGGTAGACGTAAAGGATTTATTTGGTAAATTAGCAACTGACTTTATCGGCAGTATCGTTTTCGGGATCGATATGAAATCCTTAGTCGATACGAACGCAGAGTTCCGAAGAAGGGGTAAAGCGATCTTCGACTTTAAGAGCAACCGAACCTACGAGGTGCTCGCTGTGTTCTTCGTTCCAAAGATAGCTTACTTGGCCGGCATACATTTCTTCGGGAAGAAACTTTCGGAACAGTTACGCGAAGCTTTCTGGAAGTTGATCAAAGATCGCATAGAATCCGGCCAGAAACGGGGCGATCTTATTGATATCCTCCTCGACTTCAAGGAAAATTACGCTAGCGACATGGAAGGCTACGGTAAGCAAAATGCGAGAAATAATAATACCGTTTTTTCTAGTATCAGAAAAAGAAATGTCTCCAATCTCCAAATTTCTCCAATTGTTTCCACTCTCTTGTGCGTCCCAGAGTTGATGATTCCTAGTACAAAAAAATAGAATAATCAACTTGTATCTGACCGGCAATCTTGAGAAATCGCAAGTTTGTAAATTTTAGAAATTTTTAAATTTTAGATCTCAACGGGGATGATCTAGTCGCGCAAACTATGATCTTTTTTACCGGCGGTTTCGAGACCTCTTCGACAGCAATGTCCTTCGCATTGTACGAACTCGCAATGCATCCTGAAATGCAAGACAAACTTAGGAAGGAAATTTTCGACGCGCTCAACAGCTCTGATGGAAAAATCACATACGATATGGTATGTATATATGAATACCGTGTGCTTTGTTTCAATTATCTGACTCCGTCGTCGTTGAGAATAACTTTATTGGGAAATCAAACGAGAATGTTTTCTATGCCGATGTGTGAAATCAATCTTTCCCTTAAAATTAAAACTGATCATATCGTTTCTTCATTGTCGTAGGTAATGACGCTACCATATCTCCATATGGTGGTCTCTGAAGCTTTGAGAAAGTATCCGGTGATGCCGTTTATAGATCGCCGGGCAGTAAAGACATATCAACTGCCAAACTCCGACCTCACTATTAAGAAGGGCACGCGAATTTTCCTCTCGGTATTCGGCCTGCACTGGGATCCTCAATACTTCCCCAATCCTGAGAAATTCGATCCGGAACGATTCAGCGAGGAGAACAAATCAAACATATCGGCTTATACATACTTGCCATTTGGGAAAGGTCCTCGCATGTGTGTAGGTGAGGACTTGAACTTTTCCATATTCACAAAGCATTCACTCCGTTCCCATATTAATTTTTTCTTTGACAGTCGTTTTAATAAAAGCGCTTCGAGCGACAGTGCAAAATGAATAAAATTGCAATTCGAGGTGTGATTCAATTTTTTTGTTGTGTATCCCACAGGTCCTCGTTTGGGACTTTTACAGACGAAACTGGGGATCATGAAAATGTTGTGTCGATATGAGGTGACACCATGCGAGAAAACATTAATACCGATGACGCTTTTCATGACAGCTTCTGTGACGTTACCTAATGATGGTGAACTGTACCTCAATATTCGCAAACTTAAGAAACCTCACATACCATCGTAGAATCTATATTAAATCTGTAGTATCAAATTATTCTCAATTTGAGTGATTTTTAACTATTCTTATGGTTTTATTTAATTATACTGGTAATATTTAATTTAACTAAGATAATGAAGTAAAATAATTTAACTCAAGAAATGTTAAGTTCGACTAATTTATTTTTTACTACGTGCATACATTAATATAACCTTTGTTTTAATAAAAAATAACTCACTACTTCAATTTACTTTTTAATTTCCTAATATCACTAACCTGCAATGTGTTAAAAGTCATTCAAAATTCGGTTAAATTATTACTGTTAGTATTACTATTTTTACCTATTTATTTTATTATATAGTTATTCTGAGTATATGATAGATAATTAAACCTGTATAGTTAATATTTAATAAATTATGTACTAACACATTTTAACACATTTTAAGTATAAATAGGTATCCCTCCTGTCATCGAGGAGTTAAAAGTTGGGCAACCCTCGTTTAGTAACCTCGACTGTCCATTGCAACTGAAAATGCTTTTTATAACTAGTAGTTGTGCCATCTTTCGCAACGAGGCATTGTAAAATGCCCTTAAAGACCAATGATTATTAACCGCTTACTGATTGTTTGTGTTCTTTGAACGCAGCCATTTCGTCTGTTCTTTATAATTGCATTGTTGAACTGGTGCAATAAGTTAAAAAGAATTCACAACTTGACAGAAAAGCAGATAGCAGAAAAGCAGCAACCAATCAAAATTCGCACTGATAGTAAGCAGTAGATAAAGCAAAAATTACTGACTACCAGCGCGAGTTCTGATTGGCTGCTGCCTTTTCTATCAAACTGTGAATTCTCCCTTAGAGCGAGACGAAAGCCGACATGCATAGTCAAATCTTGTATATAAGAACATCTTAAGTTTATTTCAGACGTTGTACGGCTCATTTCATTGGCTATGAAGCATTAGTAGATGAACTTAAACGACTGTAGCCGCCTGATATCAACCTCGTCGTATATTCGATATTTTTATCGCGACACACAGCGTACCGCGTCTCTATGACCTACGCCGGACAAGCTTATGGGTCAAGTCGTGTCGATAAGATCCTCTCTCCTCTCTTTGCTTGCACGACCTGCTTAAAGTATCACGACGATCACTAACGGTATATTTTCATGGATATATGACCACATACACGCTCCACTTGAGTGTAAATGTGCGGAGCACGCAGGAGGCGGCCTGCCGTCCTTTCAAAGACGCTTACTCGGTACTTCCCGGAGAAGCCGTTGCCGTTATATTCTGTACATTTGAAAGTTAAATGGATTTTTGAAACTTCAACTTTGCGATCCGGTGTTACGGAGAATCTTAATTAAGGAGTTCAGTCATGCAAGATCCTCGCTCGATATATTCTCCTGATATGATTCTGTGAAAATTACGCAGCATCCGGAATCTATCGGAGTTTAGTTTGATATTAGGAGAACAAGATCAGCGAGGAAGTTAAGGCGTTGAGTCATGCAAGCTCCACGCTCGCTATATTCTCCTGATACGATTCTGTGAAAATCACACAGCATCCGGAATCTAGCGAAGTTTAGTTTGATATTAGGAGAACAGGATCAGCGAGGAGGTTAAGGCGTTGAGTCATGCAAGCTTCACGCTCGTTATATTCTCCTGATACGATTCTGAGAAAATTACGCAGCGGCCGGAATCTAGCGGAGTTTAATTTGTTATTAGGCGAACAGGATCAGCGAAGTGGTTAAGGCGTTGAGTCATGCAAGCTTCACGCTCGTTATATTCTCCTGATACGATTCTGTGAAAATTACGCAGCGGCCGGAATCTAGCGGAGTTTAATTTGTTATTAGGCGAACAGGATCAGCGAAGTGGTTAAGGCGTTGAGTCATGCAAGCTTCACGCTCGTTATATTCTCCTGATACGATTCTGTGAAAATTACGCAGCGGCCGGAATCTAGCGGAGTTTAATTTGTTATTAGGCGAACAGGATCAGCGAAGTGGTTAAGGCGTTGAGTCATGCAAGCTTCACGCTCGTTATATTCTCCTGATACGATTCTGTGAAAATTACGCAGCGGCCGGAATCTAGCGGAGTTTAATTTGTTATTAGGCGAACAGGATCAGCGAAGTGGTTAAGGCGTTGAGTCATGCAAGCTTCACGCTCGTTATATTCTCCTGATACGATTCTGTGAAAATTACGCAGCGGCCGGAATCTAGCGGAGTTTAATTTGTTATTAGGCGAACAGGATCAGCGAAGTGGTTAAGGCGTTGAGTCATGCAAGCTTCACGCTCGTTATATTCTCCTGATACGATTCTGTGAAAATTACGCAGCGGCCGGAATCTAGCGGAGTTTAATTTGTTATTAGGCGAACAGGATCAGCGAAGTGGTTAAGGCGTTGAGTCATGCAAGCTTCACGCTCGTTATATTCTCCTGATACGATTCTGTGAAAATTACGCAGCGGCCGGAATCTAGCGGAGTTTAATCTGTTATTAGGCAAACAGGATCAACGAGGTGGTTAAGGCGTTGAGTCATGCAAGCTCCACGCTCGTTATATTCTCCTGATACGATTCTGTGAAAATCACACATCATCCGGAATCTAGCGGAGTTTAGTTTGGTATTAGGAGAACAGGATCAGCGAGGAGATTAAGGCGTTGAGTCATGCAAGCTCCACGCTCGTTATATTCTCCTGATACGATTCTGTGAAAATCACACAGCATCCGGAATCTATCGAAGTTTAGTTTGGTATTAGGAGAACAGGATCAGCGAGAAGGTTAAGGTATTAAGTCATGCAAGCTCCACGCTCGTTATATTCTCCTGATACGATTCTGTAAAAATTATACAGCATCCGGAATCTATCGGAGGGAATCTATATTTCGAAAAAAATCTAACGGGGTTTGAAAAAGCAGACATCTATAACATCGTTTATAGTGATTGCGATGACGTGTGCAAATTTTTTCCAACTCAAAATAAACATTACAAAAAAAAACCGTGAAAAATTTGTGAATTTTTCGGAAAAATGGCCTATAACTTTTCCGGCTTACGATTTGGGTAAAATTTTTCAACGGCATTCAAAAGAGGAGGTCAAAATCTATAAGAAATGATGTTTGATAAATTTTCATATGATATTTTCGTTAAAAGATATTAGGTTGAAAGTTTAAAAACAATTTGTGTTATGTGGGAGGAAAAGGGTTAAGACGGTCTTAAATATAAGACCGACTGTGAATACCGGCTAAAGGCTGTGTTCTAAAATTCATTGGCCGTGCTGAAAGAGTATTGATTATGTTACTATAGCCTGTAACTCTCTTTTATCAATGAAAATGCCTTTAAAAGTAGTTTAGGAATCACTTGATTGGCTGAGAAGCCACATTTAAAGAATTTTTATCGAAACGTGTTTATCGATAAGAGATCGAGACTTTCGAATACGGACCTAAAGGTTTTCAGCATTGGCAGTGAATATTGGAACACAGCCATAATATACTTGTCTCACTCTAACTTATTGTCCCAGTTCAGCAGTGCAGATACAAAAAACAAACCAATTGTCTGTCTCATTCTCGTTTCCATCTTCTCCGCCCCCACCAGCGATCCATTCTATTTGGTTTGTTCTTTTTAACTGAATTGGCTGCAATAATTCAAGAAATTTACACACACTGAAGCGTGAGAATCTTGTACGTTTCTATGTACGCTTCATACACTTTTGTGTACGTAACTTTCTTGGTGCGGTTAGTTCAAGTAAAAGGAACGAACCAGTTATCTCTTGTTTCCCATTAGTTTCGTAATCAGACCGTTCAACTTCAACATTCCAATAATTAATTACTCTTTCTACCGTATGGAGAAATGGTAATTAACAATCTCATGTATGTAATTCTGTACACTGCGTATTTATGCCGTCACAACAACGTATCATTAGATTCCAAAAGGTTATTTTACCGTTTTTCATTGATTTAGTATGGAAGAATGGCGGGAATTTTCTGTTGGCATTAACTGTAAAGGCTTACATTCAGGAAAAATTCGCGTGAGTATATGTATCTCTATTAGAAATATATTGTTTTTATAATAAAATTTTATAACTTGTAATCATTGAACTCAAATGAAGAGAAACGTGTTAAACGTTAAATTATTAGAGGAAAAAATTCTCGTTTATACAAAGTTTAAGAAATTTGAACATAAACATAATATAACCATGATAGGTACTTGATAGGTACTTTTATATTGATATTAGGCTATATGCTTATTCAGTGCTATTTTTATTATTTTATATTTACTAAATAAAAAATATCGAAGAAATAGAAATAAGACTAATGCAAAATTGTAAATTAGGATAAAGATAAATGGTTATTAAAAGTGAAATTCTACGATAAATATCATAAACTTAAAAGCTTTTATAAATGTGCTGAAATACTGTATCATTAATTTCCATTAGATTAATTGTTTTGCAAGCTGCATCTACTGCTTGGGTCATTGTTGGTGTACCACAACTAAAAACACCAATCTTGTTTGCCTAAAAGGAAAAATTGCTTCAATATATATTAAATCGCATAAAGATTTAAAAGTATGATGTAGAGTAGAATATAAGTATCACATTTGGTAAAAATATGAATAGAATTTTATAGATGTGATATATTATTTATGCCTTATTAGTATATATACATTTATACATATATATTCTTACATACATATACTTACATCAGAATATAATTTCTGTATAGACAAGAAGAATTGAGAAAATTTCGGGCGTCCAAAATGTGTGACTGCCTTAAGACCAGTAAACAGGGATTTATTTGAAATCTTTTGAAAGTGACGCTCGCAGATATACTGGAAACAGTATTTTATTACATAATCAATGATAATATAGGAAAAAAATAATAGCAATGTAAGCCAGTGTACAGATGTTGGTGCGCAAATCATAAAAGTGAAGAGAAAAAACAAAGAAATTAGAGATTCATAAATATATTCGCAATATCATCAAACGTCTCGGTCCTTAATTCGGACTTTTTTCGAAGTTTTATGATTTGTGCACCAATTTTTGGCTCACATTGCAATTAATTTTTTCTACATTATCACTCATTATTTATTTAGGAGCCCTAATCATATTTTCAAATTGTTTTTATTATATATTTCCTTTAATTCTTTTAAGTCAAATGATAATTGCATTCAGATGTCTTACCAAAAGTATCGTGCGTAGGTCAAATTTTTGATAAAATTGAGTGACGAAGATGTGAATCGATACTATGTTCTTAACGTCGGTTTTCTCGAGCTCCCTCAATATGTCGACCAGCCATTCAAATTGCTTTTGTGTTCTCGTGACCCAAAGAAAATACACCTATAAATGGAGCGATTTTACATATATTCTTCCCTATACATCGTAGTGCTACAGTGACATTACTACCTTCTTGCAACTAAAGTTCACACTATGGTTCGATCTGAAAACAACATCTTTCAGTATGGATGCAAAAGGTGTAACACCTATACCACCACCAACCATAATTGCTACTTCGTATTTATCCCAGTCTTGATGGCCTTCTCCATACGGGCCATCTATGTGAATCTATCAATCGGATGAGAGAAAATAGATAATATTACAATTTTATTTCATTGTATTAAATGTTGCAAAACGTTTTTGGACAAATAAACAAATATACTCCACAATATTACGATTTAAAGGCTTACCACTGGCAAGTTCTCATTAGACATGGTACATAGCTCTAATTTGTCCCTGATATTTGTAGTCCACGGTCCAACTGCTCTTATATGTATACTTAAACTTGTCTCGTGCGGTGCGGAGGATAAAGTAAACGGATGGAACTCGTTTGTTTGCAATGCTGGACACGCCACTCTAATCCACTGGCCAGATTTATATTGAAAATTTAGAGGCTTTGGGAATATTAAACACGTTACACCTGCCGAAACATATCGATATAGCGTGTAGAGATGTAAATAAGATATAAATAAGTAGACAGTATGTGATTCAACTTCGTTGAAGAAAAATTACCCGATGGCAAAATATCCGCTTTAAGTATTGGTATCTCTATTGTCGTCCTGGTCACTGTTACAACTTTATCCAGAATAAACAGGATAGCCGGTCCCAAGAAGAAATAATGGAAATACGGCTCCTGTCACGGCGAAACGAGTAATTTCGTGAGTTGTATCATCGTGAGGACAATTTACACTTTATATAAAAACGTTCGTTTTTACCTGTACTAATCTTCCGCTGCCGTGTAAAACCATAAGTATATAGAAAACTGGATACAGGGAGTGTATGAAGGAGAACCAATGGTAAAATGCCTTGCGCACCATCGGTAACGAACATATAAATATCAATCCAGTCACGATGGTTATAAGTATTCCCGTTATACCTGTCATCGTACCCCAACACCAATAATGGAATTTGGGCAGTTCGTGCGTCCTACAGATACCGATAATTACACATAACGTCCTGTGCATCGTGTGGATGATCAGAATGTTCAGGGAGAAACTTACGCGTGGAAATAATTCCGGAATAAACACGATAGATCGTCGGCAGTCTGCGTGGATATGTGGTAAAAGTTGAAGCCGTGTCCGATAATATGTAACACTAAAAGAGATTCTTGAATAAAATACCTCCTCGAATATACGTGTGAAATCGGCCGGGGTATGATTACGAAGAAATCAAGGTGGTTAAAGACACGATGTTTAACACAGAACAAGAGCATCTTCTCACCGGTAAAGGCCAGCGCCCAACAAGCGATGTACTTGTGCATGTCGATCGCGGAATCGAACGGGATGTAGAATTGCAGAACTGTGGTTCTCAGGAAGGTGATGGTGTTGTGGCACATCATGAGCAGCAGCGTGGAGTAAGTGAACATCATCGCCGACGCCGCGCCTCTCGTCACGGTCAGGCCGTAGCCCAGTATTCGTCTGAGACCGGAATGTTCCCGTTCGATGTAGTAATCTGGAAGAACATCGTCGAATATTCGCGGGCATATCGACAAGATACGACACGCTGAATATCCCAGTAGTACGTACAGTAAATTCGCTCGGCGAATATTCCAAGGAGCAACAGAGTGTACAAACACGCCCAGAATATCTGCATTCTCTTGTTGGCGAGGTACTTCATTATGGGGTACCAGTAATCGTCCGAGTACTTTTTCATTTCCTCGACGATCTTCTCGTCCTTGTCGATGATCTCGCTGTTATTCCGCTCCTCCGTCAGATCCTGCTCGTTCTCGACCTTGCCCTCGATTCTCGACTGCAACTCGCTCGGGTCGGCGTACAGGCTCTCCACCGTTCTCTGCACTTCACCGATGAACGTCGATCTAACCGTGTGCACGCCCGCGTGAAGCTTCCTGTTTCTGCCGTCCGTCTGCACATTGAACTCCAGCTCGGCGTAATTGAACTTATCGTTAAAGTCGCTCAGTATTTGCTGAAAGTCCTGTAGATTAATGGTCTCTTTGTCCGCCATGTCGGCGTGGTACATCATGGATTGCACCAGAGTCTCCAATTCGTCGTCCGTTACGTCAGCATTGACCGTTTCCATAAACGATCTGCAAGTTCCACGTAATAATACCGGGTAGAGCGTCCCGATCACACGTATATGGATAGATGATGTACCTTAACATATTTAAAAATTCCTCTCTCTTCAGTCTTCCCGTACCGTTGATGTCGTACATGTCGAACATCAGCTTTATCTTCTCTTCGGCGGAGCCCTTTAGAAATATCACCAACATATCAACGAACTCCCGGAATGATATAAAACCGTTCCTGTCCTTGTCCACCAGATTAAATATCTGCAAGTACAACCTTCCGAGCAACATGTCACGCGCTCATTGTCAACTTGTCCGGGCGAACGTTACCTTCTTTACGAACTCGGCATCCGGCCTCATGCTCAAGGCTTCCGCAAATTCTATCATAGTCAGCTCGGTGTAAATCACTTCTCTCGCCACCGTCGAGTCTATCTGTAATATTTCCTCCTCCCTATGCGCGATATGAAACGCCTAGAGGAAGTCATTACATGTATATTTATTTATACTTATCTTTCGACAGTTCTTTCGTACGTTGTGTCGAAGTAAATCCTTCACTTGAAGATTTTTTTTTTTTTAATAAACAAAGAAGAACATGCCTGTGAGAACACAACACGGAAGAACATCTCTAATTTCTTTTGACGGTGCTTCTTAGTTATCGCTTGCTTGAGCAACATCGCGAGCGTGACGTTGGTCGTTTGCACCGAGCATACATTCCCGACTGTTGCAATTTCTGACATAAATCTGTCGAACGCCTTCATAAACGCGCTTCTCAAATATTCGGAGTCGAACTTCAGCACCAAGTCGTAACTGTGATGTACGCGAATCAATATGTAATGGTTGTCGGTTGCGCAGTAAATCTGGTGGAGGAAACGACGTATTTTAGTATACTCATCACATTTAGCACATTTATTACGAGAGAATGCGTTGTTAAATGCGGGTGGAATTATGTGTGATAAACAAATGTACCATAACGTTGCTGTTGGATGGAAACTCCACTGCGCGTATCAAATGTCCCAATTGATTTTTCACCTCCAACTGTTGAGACCTAACATTTGGTGTTATTAACACATGTCTCAGCGAAGACTTCGGCTCTTGCCATTCTCTAGCTATTTAAGTATAAAGAGTTATTAATACGCTATATAAGCGGAATCTTTGTTTTTTTTATACGATATATGTATATTATGTACATCCCATGTGTTATGCGATGTACGTATATACCTGGAAATTTACCAGTAAATATGCTATCTACGTTATCAAAGTGATTCACTTCTCTGCTACTCTTCTCTGTCCTCGGTCCTTTCTCCTTGAACTGTATCTTGTAAAAGATTATCGCAACAATACCTGTGCCAATGTTAACGTCAAGTAATATAGAATTTACACAATTACAATGTATTAATAATGACGATGACGAATTTACCGCAGAAAAATGTTGTCATGCCTAGAAATGTAAGAATGTAGGACGCGCTGCTTTTTGAAAAATAGTCGTAAGTTCCAGGCCGTGTACAATTTTCGACGATACTAGCATTTATCTGATCAGCGTGAAAGCAAGGAGTAACACACGTGCCTGCCTTAATAACGTTATTTCTTTTACAGTTAGGATGCATCTCGCCCTCTGAAAGGATGATAGTACACATTTAGCGGTTAATCTTCAGTTATCGTCAGGCGAATTTAAATTACCGTATAAAAAAAAATACGCTTTTGTTCGTACCACTTGTAGGAACTCGAAAAGGATTCTTCGGAATATCGTTCCACTCCATATCAGTGACGCACATCAACAGATCGTAAATCGATAATTGGTCTATTCTTTTAATTTCATTCAAGGTAAAGAGTCTACGAGTAAAGACGTGCCAAAGCATTGCGTCGATAAATATAAATATGAGCATTGATGTGTAGAGCGCGGTGGAAATCGCTGCTATGCGTGATTACATACCCGTTATCTAGATTTTTGTACCAGAATCTATCACCATCGCGTATTCTCTGAAATTGATCGCTGATGATCGCTTGGAATAATTCACCGGGCCCGTCACCGGTCTCCAGTATTCCACCTACCCAGATGTCCACGTTGTCGAAGGAGTTATTGTACAAATCGAGGAAATTGTCCTTGATCTTAAACAAAGTGCAGGTGTCTTTTATACAGTCGTTGTTACGGCGGATTAAGAGTTCTTGAATTGTACAATGGTGTACCTTTTGGGGCAGACGAGCGGGAAAATGGGATATATTGTTGACCGTGTGTAAACCATACGCGCGACGAGCGCTGTTGTAATCCGGCACGCCATGATCACGTCCTCGTTGAATGTTAAGCGCCATTAAATCCCTTCTTGAAAATTCCAACGGACCGAACAAACTGCCTCGCAGATCCTCAACGATTTTATGATCTTCTTCTTCGCACAGTTGGATAGCCATTCCCATTAATAATTTATCCACGTTGATGGGTATCTTCGTTTTGTTGGCAAATAGAGAATTCTAAACGACGATTTTCGCCGTATATTAATCGCTCATCGATATACCTTGAATACCGTCGGTGTAATCGCCAAAATACCTGTGACATCCAGTAATTGTTGCATGTTCTGATCGGAAACGGCGCCAGGGAACAATCGACTCTCCCATAGTTACGGAGGTATACACCTATATTAATTGTTACTATTACTATGTTTATCAATACCGATTATTGCGCGACGTTACGCACAGAATGAGCCAATGATTGTAGTACAACCGTGGAGGGGATGATTTTTCTTGTAAAAATAAGTCTGTAGTGAATCTTTCATTGGCTAAAATCACTGAAGTATTAGACAGAAGAGTTAAGTATCCATTAAAAATTAGTAAATACTTACTGATTATCGGTAGAATATTGTTTTACCAATTCAACTTAAGAGTGTACATTTTCGATTAATTTTTTTTCAAGAGAATTCATCCCTTTTCCAATTTTATCACAATTACTAGTCCATCTTGTCAAGTTTATTTTATGTCACCTTATGATTGAACAAAAAGAAAGCTACAGTGCAAATGTGTATTAACCCTTTGCACTCCAGCCTAGTAATGCATAGAGGCTATTAGTTCCAAGTACATACCTATGATGTAGAAGAAAAATAGAGTCGTTTCAATAAAACAAAATTTTTATTTCTTAGCTATTTTATAACAAAACATATTCTAACTTATATTATAAAAGAAAAACATAAATTTTAGGACTTAAAATTTCTTAAAGTGCCGAGGCNAAAGGGAAAAAAAAAAAAAAAAAAAAAAAAGACGAGTAAAAGCAAATAGGCCATGAAGATAAAAAATTAATATCGCTTTCACAAAACGTCTTTGCCTGACGTCGGTGCGGTTGTGTTTGAAATTATGTCTACGTAACATAGCGTTAGTTAATCGGACGTTGTACGTGTTATTTATTTACCTGGTGGAACTAAAGTGTGTCCAAAGCGGAAAGCAGCCGATTGGAAGAACTGATCTATCTGCGGGTCGATATTAGGGTTGTAACCTTTCAACGGGGAGAAAATCAAACGTGAATGACACGCAAATTACGAGTAACCCGAGAGTCGATAATGCATCTCAAAACGTAGTGAGAATGACAAAGGTGAGCGAATTTACTAGAATATTTATAATTTCATTAGCTAACACTAGAGCTGAACGAAAATATCGATCCGGTTCCGATCCACTAAAATATTTAATAAAGGTTTCGGTTTCGGTTTTCTGGACAATGAAAGTATTGGTAAAATTAAAATTACGGTTTTTCTTCAGTTCCGGTTTTATAGGCTTTATAAAATCTCGATACGGTCGAGTCCAATACCTAAATAAATTTGCTCACTTTCGTGATTCTCCCTACGCTTTGAGATACACAATTGATCGCCCCGAATCGTATCTATCTCTCACCTTTATATTTAGAAAGACTCTTTCCCAACCACGAAGGCAACCATTCATCGACAACAATACGTTGCTGGGTCGCTATCACCCACTTACGTGCCTCATTGTAAATCTTGTCGCTCGACCAGGTCGGATTGTGACGCTTGATATGCTTCGCCAGGAAATTGTGCCACCGGAACCACACTACACCGAAGGTCAGTAGGAACGGGTTCTCGTTCCCTCGCGGATTTCCTAACTCTGCAACATACATACGTGTCGTTAACAACATCGGACTCACTCTCTCTCGGCATCATCGATTCATTCGCGTTATCGAGGATGTATCTTCTCCGAGCGTTGGGAGACGAAGCGATATTGCGGGCGCGCCGCATCTTTGTCGAGCTGCCGCGCCGATCGATCACGAAGATGTCGGTGCGGCAAGCGTTGAATGAGGCGCTCGACGAGGAATTGGCCCGGGACGAGAACGTATTCATATTAGGGGAGGAAGTAGCGCAGTTTGACGGCGCTTACAAGATAACGCGCGGCCTTTGGAAGAAATACGGCGACAAGAGATTGATCGACACACCGATAACCGAGGCTGGATTCTGCGGCATAGCCGTAGGCGCGGCGCTCATGGGCTTACGGCCGATATGCGAGTTCATGACCTTCAATTTCTCCATGCAAGCCATCGACCGCGTGGTCAACGGCGCCGCGAAGAATCTTTACATGAGCGCCGGAAGATTTCCGGTCCCCGTCGTGTTCCGCGGGCCGAACGGCAACTCCAAGGGTCTGGCCGCGCAGCACTCCCAGTGCTTCGCCGCGTGGTACATGAGCGTGCCCGGGCTCAAGGTCGTGTCGCCATCGACCAGCGAGGATTACAGGGGCTGCCTGAAAGCTGCTGTGAGAGACCCCGACCCGGTGGTGATGCTGGAGAGCGAGTTGCTTTACCCCGTCGAGTTCCCCGTATCCGACGAGGCCCTGGACAAGAACTACGAGATACCCTTCGGCAAGGCCAAGGTGGAGAAAGCCGGCAAGCACATCACCTTGGTGACGCACGGCCAGGCGTACGTGTTCACGCTTCAGGCAGCCGAGACACTGGCCGGGCAAGGGATCGAGGCGGAAGTGGTGAACCTGCGCTCCCTGAGACCCCTGGACTGGGACACCATCTTCAAGTCGATCGGCAAGACGCACAGGCTGATGACCGTCGAGCTGGGCTGGCCTCGTTGCGGCGTCGGCTCCGAAATCGTCGCTACGGTGATGGAAAATCCGGTGTTCTTCCAGTTGGACGCGCCCGCGATCCGGTGCACCGGAATCGACGTCCCGATGCCGTATTCGGAACCGATCGAGAACGAGTGCACTCCGAAGGATCACAACATAGTCGAATATGCTAAGCGCGTTTGCGGCATGAAATTTTAACTCCCGCGTAATCCGCGTTTGTGCTCGTCGACGCAAATAAAGTCTCTTACTCACTGAAGTATCTGCTGACTTTCTCGGTGTAGTGCCGCGAAACGTATAACTGATGGTGAGCGGGCGGCGGCGGATTCGCCATCGGTAATCTCACGCTGTTGTACTCGGGATACGAGCCGGAGGGCGAGGATGCGAGTTCACCGGCCGGGTGCACGGTCCCGTTGGCATACGTCCTCAGAACGTCCGACCACGCCTTAGACGTACCGTAGATCAGCCCGCCGTCCAAGTACGGCGTGATCTCGTTCAGCTACGACATCGTATCCATGTATTTAGGAGTTAGGAAAGATCAGCGGCTCGTTCTTCCAAAGTGTGCATTCTGTACCTGTTGACGTGGATTGTTCGGCGAATGACCCGTCCGTTGATCGTACCGTGTACGTAAAACAGGCATTTTCGTGTGCCCCGGGTAAAGATTATACGTGTGATTTTCCGGAATGTCTATGTTGAAATACTCGGGTGGGCACGCTGGTCTCTGGGCATCTAAAATTTCCTCTACCACTTGTTGACCTGCGGATCAAGCGTTTTAAGCTGTTTCGCACGATATCGTAGTTCTCTCTCGTATCCGGAATGAAATTAAAATGATTAAAAATATAGGTTCATATATATACATATATTAATATATGATACGTACTGGTAAGTACGAAATGAATAAATATTAAGAATGAGAGTTATATATAACAACGACAATACATAACAATAATAACGAAATGAATAAGTATTAAGAGTGAGAGTTATATATAACAATAATGTTATATTCTCAAATTTTTTTTATATTAATAATTTTTTAATAAACAATAACCGAGACAGCTAAAACCCTCTGAAAGTTATTCAGGAGGGTGACTTCTGTAATATATATCAAAGTCAAAATCAGAGAAGGTGGATCCCCTTTTGTAAAGGTTTACATGAAGTTGGCCTTCATGTGACTTTGGCGTCTCCACATGGAAAAGAATCAGACAAGAATAAAACCCCTTTAAAATCACTTAACCTTTGTCTAAACAATTTTCCTACAAAATCGATATTTATTACATTATTTTAGATAGCGATTTCAAATGACCCACTCTATATATACACACAAACTTTCTGTAGAGGAAATTTTTCTTATAACGAACTCGATCATCTGCGCTACATCGGATCAGCGCACATTAAAAGCTGCTATACATGAAGCTATTGTTTCAATGTAGTGCGAGTTCGCCATCGAGATCGAATTCGCCATTATATATACTGAGAAGTAAACGCGCGCGACAGATTACGTTCTATATTTGATCAATAAAATTCTTCGTCGGTTTATCTTGTTTACATTTGCATCCAAGTGAAAATGATATGACTTTAAAAATAGTTCCATATAAGATATCTCAACGTAAGAAGAAATATCTTTGGGGGTCTAAATATGGGGACCTTAAAAGCAATCGAAAAAATTACTATAAAAAAAAATCCCTCTCCACGATATTCCTCTTTCGAAACTTATATATATATATATATATAATTTTCTCACGCACCGAAAAACACAAGTAAAGCGTTTCTTCCCGTTCTTGATTTCGTTCCAATATCCCCACTCAGCAACCTGTCGCTCAACTCCAGTGGGTTTGGTCTATTAGAACCCGACGGTTTGTACACTCCGTCTTCATAAGTTGCCGGCACTTTCCTCAGCAAGTGGGTGTCGACGGCACCTAACTCTGTTTTAGCGACGTTATTGTACCATCCATCGTAACCAGGATACTCCTCCGCGGGGCGAAACGGTGCGCATTTACTCAATAGAGGAGGCTTTCCTTGGTCGCTCCAGCATCCAGTGAACAACCAATCTGTTAATCGCGTGTTAAACTCGTCTCCGGCCAATCTTTTCTCCGGCTTCTTAGAAACTGAAAGAAACAAACACGCGTGTTTTCAGTGCAAATACGACAGGTTCGTTTACACCAGATTCAAGCATAAACGTACGATCCGGGCCCACCGGAGGTATCGTCGTTGGCGGATGTGTCGTCAATTGCAATTTTGTGGTGGCGTGTTGTGCAGCAAGCAAGGAGAGATTAATCGCGATAACGAGTAGATTTAGCGCGGAATGCATGTTGCGTCCGTTACGTTGCCGCCGTCACATCGATTTGCGGGGAGAATAACGTATGAACCGTGTGTATCACATATAAAAATTGTCTGTTTCAGCGCTACCACCGGATTTCACTCGCTGACAGAGCTGCAACAATTTCTACTGATGAGGGAATATCATTCGCACGAGCGGTTTGCGTTCCTTCTACTTCCTTCCTCGTGTGATAAGGGCGCACAGGAAGCCACCGAATGCGTGAATCACCGGTTATATTATTAGAGCATGAACAGATTGATCGCACACGCCCGTTTCATAATTTCTCACCAGGATAACCGTGGCCGCTACATTATATACACACATATATATACATATTATCTGCGATTATACTTGGTGGAAAAATTAAGCGAGCGCAAGGCGAGCGCAAAATGTACACGCCGAGGAAAAAAGTCCTTTGGTTCGCGGTCGTTAGTAGAATCGCGATATTTATACTGCAAGTCATTTTTAACGCATTAACACCCGATCATCACGCAGACGCGTTTAAAAGACCCTCCGATCCGACGGAGAAAGTTTCCCCGTGGGATCGGGTGGCGTATTTTTCACTCGACGGTCTTACGCGCTGGGACGGCGAGTATTTCTTACACGTCGCGAGGTACGGCTACACTTACGAGAATACCCTCGCTTTTTATCCCCTGTATCCGGGCATGATCCGCGTTGTCGGGGTAGTTCTGCTGAAGGTATTCTCCCCCGCGCTGAATATTCCGAGCGCGTTGATGCTGGCCGCGGCGCTCATTAATCTCACGTGTTTCGCAAAGTCCGCAATTATCCTTTACGATCTCACCGAGAGCGTCTTTGAGGATAACATTACGGCTTACAAAGCGGCGATACTTTACTGCATAAATCCGGCCGGCATATTCTTCACGGCCGTATACTCGGAAGCGATGTTCGCGTATTTCACGTTCCACACCATGCTCGGGAGCGTGAGACGCACGGCCACTATTTATTTCCCGCTGGCTCTGTCGACCCTGGTCAGGTCGAACGGTATCGTCAACGTCGGCTTTCCCGTATACTTCGGGCTGAAGAATCTTTGCAGTTCCACGCCGCTACGGAAGCGTAATATCCTGTCGACCGTCCGGCATATTTTAAAACCGATGACGTTAAACGATTATTTCGCCGCGCTGAGCACGCTGATTATATCGATGTCGCCGTTTCTCCTTCTACAGATATACAACTACGCGAAATTTTGCGGCCCCGCCGACGCGTCACTGCCGGCGCACATCTTGCGATACGCCGCGGAGAACGATCTCGTTCTATCGGGGAATGCGGCCTGGTGCAACGCCAGTGTGCCCCTGGCGTACTCGTACGTGCAGAGGAGGTATTGGAACGTCGGCTTCCTGAGGTACTATCGATTCAAGCAGATGCCGAATTTCATCCTGGCCTTCCCGGTGCTGCTGATTATGTTGCACTGCGTGAAGGAATTCCTCCACGAACATAAGGACGAATTGTACTCGCTCGGATTGTTCGACGGCAAAGCGAAAGGCGCCGTGAAGAAGTATCCATTGAATATGTTCGTCTTCGTGGCGCACGGACTATTTCTCACGATATCTTGCTTATTCTTCGTGCATATTCAAGTCAGCACACGCTTGTTAGCTTCCGCGAGTCCTTTGATATATTGGTACTGCGCGTTGATTATGTCGCATAAAGGTGTCGACTCACAGTACGAAATCGGCGAGAACATGCGCTCCAAATGGAAGGTATTCTTTTTATCGCAGGAAAGGTATACGCTGCAGGATAAACTGGTGCTGTCTTATTTCATAGGGTATACGATCGTAGGATGTTTTATGTTTTCGAATTTCCTGCCATGGACTTGATACGTTACATTCTATATGCTTTGTTACTAAAATGAATATTTCCGACACATTCTCGTTGAAACTCGTATATATAATGAAAATATCGAAATAAAATGTATAATCGCAAAAATAGGAATAGTTTATAAATACTAATTTTTCTTTAGAATCTTTCAAAGGAAAGATATGTTTGTTTTTAGAAAAATATCTATTTTTATTTTTATGTAACATATATGTTGAAATGCATGCGGATATCAGGTATATCGAATTCTGCGAATATATATTTTAACATCTAAGTAAGATGTTTTCATATTTATGTATTTAAAAAATTACCTTAGCTTAATTACATTAACTTCCTTTCATATGTTGTTTTTTATGCTTCAATATTTCGACAGGTGTGAGATATAATGTTCGCGAACAATGAGAACATTCGTACGCCTGACTGTTTGGTTTATGCGTGACATTCTTACTCTCCTTGCTATCTTCACCGATCTCATTTGTGACTACACAGGTGCTCTGATGTTGAATTTTTTCTAAACTGGATAGGATCGCTCGGAGATCACAATTTTGGCAATGCCACTCGGTCTCTTGCATTTCTACAATTAGTTTCTCGCTCCAACCGGTTTCCTTTATGCTATATAACATGTTAATATAAAGATTTGTTAATAAATAAATTTATAAGTTTTAACATTAAGTAAAATGATATTTATATATCTTGTATATTTTTGTCGATTGCATTTCTACATAAAAGTAATTTAAGTAATTGTATATCTCAGTGCGTATTAATAAAGTATTTTTTTTACACTTACCAATTGTATGTGATACTTTCTGTTACATAAATTCCGCCTTTAGCTATGTTTGGTGTACTTTTAAAATCAGATTGAAAAGGATTAGGCTCTACGCTTACGTTATTATTCCCACCGCCAACATACACCATTTTTAAGTCAGCTGGTAATAGTCTTTTTATGGTATATGGTATCGTAGTATGCATATAATCAATTAATTCTCGAGTGAGATTTTGCTCGATTTTGCTAAAATCTTGTTTTGCGTCATTGTTCGTTTCGTCAGATACTAAAATAGTAGATTCACGTTTTATGATTTATTTTTTTCGTTCATGGAAATAAAAGAAAACATAACTCGATCCTCAAATATGCGTCCTTTTACCTTGCAGCTGCTGATTTAACAAGAAATCCCATTTGCTCCTTAACTTGGTAGCCTTCATTAGCAAAGTTTGACCGCTATCAGGAACAGGAAATTCCAACATCAGCCATGAGTCACATGCTATTCTGTAATATTCGTATTATATTGTGCTATATGAGATAAATTAGGAAGGACACAAAATTTAAGCGTACTTACATAGAAAATGTACTGTTCGTGTCTATTTCGCGTGCGAATAGCAGTAAAGTTTGCGCGGCAGGCATTCTCAAAGTATTTACCAGATACGGTTTTGTAGTTTCCAAGAGAGAACTGTCAATAATGTCAATACGTCGTAAGGCGTTATTCGTGTTTAACAAGTCATTACGAAGTCTAAACAAGCGTAAACAAGAACTTACAGATATACCAATATTTGATGTTTAGGGCTAATAGGAGTTTTGCTCGTAAAACCGAATATTGACACCACATCTGGTTCTTCGACTTGCAGCACTTGCGGATGATTGCCAAAGAAGCTCATTGGATGCAAAGCGACGTACGGTTTCGCTTTCGTATGAAACAATTGTTCACTCATAGACTGAACAATGACATGAAAATATCGTTATATGTTATCATTAGGTTGATGCAGAAATTCGTTCTGTTTGCTATTCTTCGTATTTTCTTCAAAAATACCAGAATTTCTACGAACGTGGGAATTCATGCAATTAACGAAAAGGTAGCAGGCTATCAAGCAAAACGGCGCTTGTTTAATTAATTTAATTGATTGTATTTTAAAATAAATAAATGTTGTATGTACATTTTTATTAAGAGACGGAATGAACTTTTGTCCGATATATAGATATATACAGATATGTATATGTAGGTGGGGCAATAACTTTGTTCACCTGGAATATTTCCGCTAGCACCTCTTATGACGTAAGAATTATTATTTTAATCCCTTATCCAGTGCCGAATGACCTTGTATTGTAGATCGTTGGAATCGTCTGAACATCCGCCAGTGCATTAAGGAATAAAAAGGTATAGCGTGCCATTTAAAAAAATATTGAAGTGACCTTGAAATCTCTGAAGCCTATCTCTCCACCCACAGAAAAATTATTACTAGCATATTATGGTACTCTTGTTACTATACACACCCACACAACTTTCGTAATTCAAATATTTTCATATCTCTAAAAATAGCGAAGATGGACTCCAGATGGACAAAGTTATTGCACCATTCTGTATATATAAGAAGTGTAATTTTACCTTGCAATAATTAAATTCGTCGGCACAAGCGAACTGCGGATATAAGCCGCTGCACAATATCAACTTCAGCATCGTCAGATCTTTGTAACTGCACGCAGTTGTGGCCGTTAGAAGATTTTGCACCTGATTCGAGTCATTTCTCATTCGGAATTCTATATCCTTTATATCGAGCTCTCCGTTGTCCTCGTCATTATCTTCCAGCTGTATGTCGAATGTATCGACTTTTAATTGCTTGCGTCTTCTGGGTTCGCTTTGCTTATAGTTTCTCTTAAGCGATTTCAGAAGTTTCAACTCTCCGTGTCTCATCGCACGCTCCGCGCTTGACATGGAGGAATTTGGCTCCGATAGACTTTTGAGTAAGTTGCAATCCTGTATAGTTTCGCAGAAACACGGCAACATTAGATATTTTTCTATCGACGATATCAAACACGCTGTTGAACGCATACCTGCGATACCAACCTGAAGCAATTCTTTGAACTGAGCTCTTAACTTCGTCATCTCATAGAAACGTTGTTCCTCTAAGCCTCTTCTTCTACACCACTTTCTGCTATTGCTGCCGCTGCCTCTATACTCTTGGGAATTTTCTTGCTTCACCTCCAACCATTCTTTGAATGCGTTCAGTAACGTGATCGGATCACCATGGTCAGATTCCAACTTCTTTCTAGATGTCTTCAATATTGCCAATATTATTTCAATATGTAAGTAACTTAGTTACATAATTGCATGTTACATTCACATTAATTACCTCGCACTCAGTGTCCCTATACGCTCTATTTGTAAACGGCGTCTGTATACTTAGAGCAGCAGCCAATGACAGTACCGGCTCCACTTGGTGGAAAATCGATCCCATTATTAACATTTTCCCTATTGTAATGTCAACGGGTAGCCGTGCTAAAGTTTTACCGATACACGTGATTTTTTCGTTATCCGTGAGTGCACCCTGTGATTGAAGAAATATTAGCTTGATATTTATTACTTTGCTGCAAAAAGCACCGACAAAAAGAACACAATGTCAGAATACCAACGTGATCTTTTAAAGATAGTATGGCGTTTTCTATACTATTGGCCGGTGGTGGTTCTATAAATGGGAATTTGCGTGCGTCTGGCAGGCCCATCGCTATCATTTGCAACAACGAAGAATCTAAAGGCACGCGTTGTAATTCCGGCGTTGAATACTTTTCCAATACTTTGTACTCCTCCTCCGAATAAATTCTTTAAAATAACAATATTATGCATGCAAAAAGTTTCTCGCATAATTAATTAATTAATTAAGCGTCAAGTTACCTGTAACAAACTCCGGGTCCAGTTCTGCCGGCTCTTCCTTTCCTCTGTTCCGCACTGGCCTTGCTTATCCAGAATTCCTTAAGTCTCTGCATCTTGCATGTCGGGTCATAACTCATTTCCTTCACTTTCCCGCTATCAGCAACAAATCTGATCCCATCGATGGTGATAGAAGTCTCCGCAATGTTAGTCGCGACGATACACTTCCTGACACCCTCAGGTGCGTAATCAAATACCTGGAAGAAAATTGTTTTCATAATGTTTGACACGAAAATAACGAAAATAGGCATGTTTTAGAAATAGTATACTTTGTCCTGTTCGGCGATAGAAAGTGTGCTATGAAGAGGTAAAACAATCCAATTGTTCTTCTTCTTACTGTATTCTTTAGCAGCATCTACGACTGTGGTTATTTCATTCATTCCACTCAAAAATATTAATAGGTCGCCTTTCTCGTCCACTAAAAAAGGTTTTATCATTGTAATTCTTAACTCAATTCATAATCTTAAATAAAATATTATCTTAGGTAAAATAACTAAGCAGAATCGATAATTATATTTATTGCATTTGATCATTTTTTCATCTCACTGGTGCATCTAAAGTAACATTTAAATACTTTACCTGGATACTTTTGATCAATTATCTGTAATATTTGCACATACGGACTCGGGTTAAATCTATCATTTTTATATTTGATGTCCTCTATAGTTACAGGGCGATACATCAATTGAATGGGATATAATCTTCCAGGGACCTAAATACGTGGAACATTTCCAGCATTAATAATAATTTAAACCCAACAATCCGTTAAAAGATTATATGACATGTATAAATTTACCTCTATTGTCTTAACATCTTCTTTCGCGAAATAATCATTAAAGAGTTCTATATTAATAGTAGCAGACATTAGCACCAATTTCAAGTTGGGATTCTGATGAATAATACATTTCATAATGCCCAATAAGAAATCTCCGTGCAGATGACGTTCATGCACTTCATCTAAGACTATTACATCGTATGCCGATACTGCTGATTCACCTGAAACCTATATAAAAGGATACCAAATTTATAGAACTTATCGAAACTCTGCAATAATCTGTCTGTAATCTGCAGTAATCTACACTCACCTGTCGTAACAATAAACCTTCCGTTATGAATGTAATAATTGTTTGCTGATTTCTTTGCTTCTCAAAACGTATCTGATAACCAACAGTACTAAGATTTTCACTCAATGTTTCGAAGGCAACTCTCTTTGCCAATGATATACATGCTATTCTTCGGGGCTGTGTACATGCTGTATTGCAAATCAATGCACAATTACATTATATCACTCAAAACAATTAAGGAATTGAATGAATAATTTTGTCATCGTTAAATTCTGTTGAATAGTTAAATCCAATATAAGAGTATAAATAGCTCTAAAATATTATATTTTTATAAGTGTTTATTAAGGATTAGATATTAAAGAAATTTCTATATATTTTAGGTACCTAATAAGTAAACATGATAAAAAATATGATCCCCTAATTGTTTTTAGCAGTATTAGAAATATAAGATTTATTCAGTTTAAGATAATCGTACCTATTTTCTGGAAACCAGCTTCATGTAAATATTGAGGGATTTGAGTAGATTTTCCACATCCAGTATCTCCTGCTATGATGACTACTTTTTCCCTTCTCACCGTCTCAATAATTTCATCTTTATACTGCGCAACTGGTAAGTTAGCTTGCGTATCTCTGAGCTTTTTCAACTTGTTAAATTTCTCCTTCTGCTTGAAATCCAAATATAAGATTATAACGTCCCTGAATTTCAGCAGCCGTGGTTTCGTTAACTGCTTCGTCTCAATAACTCGGGCAAATAATTCTCCGTGGGACAAATTGAGCTTGAAATTTAAACAATGAGACTTGTGATACTTCTCCGGTACCCCGATAGAATTTAGGGCGGAGTCAACAACGGGTTCGTTATTGTCGCCAAATTGCCTCTTCACAGACTCGTATTTCTCAAGGAATTTCCAAAAGTCCGTGACATCGTGAACGAGATTCGGATTCGCCGTAAATATCTTGCTCAATTCGTGTTTATACTTGCTGAAACAGAAATCTTCGTCGCTCTCTTCGCGACAATACTCCGAGGAGTTTCGCGCAGATTTCGAGGAGCCGCTACGCTCTTCGGTTTTACGATCGTCGCGATGTTTTCTTCCGTGAGATCTGTCGTTTTCATTTGCGCGCTCGTCACTGGGCGAACGTCCTCTTGTTTTGCTCCTCGATGACATTTTTCTATTAGCTTAATTCATATATTGCACTATAACCTCACTTTTAAATGACAACTTTTGCGATATCGCAGAATGACACATTATTTTAATAATCTGCCTATAGTATGATTTGCGTATTCTAACATGAATATTTGACTAATCTTTTGAATGTAGGAAATATTAATTTCGTAGGATTTTACATTGCAACAGTACTTAAAGTAAAACTAAAACTGCATGTATAGGAGGTGAAGGTTAATGTAAACATAACCTGTACGAGACACATTACAGCGTGCGATAAGCTCTTTCTCTCTCTCTCTCAGTATCGAATCGTGAGACAAGTGCGATAATCGACATTTTGTTATCGACAATCGAATAATACATCGATATGACATCTGTTCTTTTAATCTGTACCATATTACACTCTCTGCACTTAATGAATTGAACAAATTTATATTTAAGCAATGTGAAAAGAGAAAAAGAAAAAACACGGGGGGAAAAATATAAAAATATTAAACATAAGGAGGATAAATTGTACATCATATATTAAAATAAATCGAGATATGCACAAGTTAGTTTGACATTTCACTTATAAATTAAATACAGATGAAATAAAGACACACTTTGAATTGCAAGTGAGATTACCCAACAAAATGTCGAGCACGTGTGCGAAATTTGCGCGTAATAATAGAAATGTCAGAGAATTCAACGTTCCAGGATAGAAATTAAAAATCACAGAAACCACTGCAGACTGTTAAAAACTTTTAAACTTAGTGGAATATATATAATCTAAAAGTGACGTGAGATTAACTCATGTTGAAGATGAATGAGAGGAACTTTATACAAAAACTTTATACAAACAAATAAGAGGTTGTGTGAAAGACTTTAATTATCATCAGTTATTATTACGCGTTGATTTTACAAATATATCGACATATACCCTATAAGCGCGTAATATTATTTAATATTAAGTAATATTCTAGGCATATTCTTAGAATATTATTTAATCTTATTGTAAACAATATTATATACTATTTAAATATTTAATTCTATGTATATATTCTATTTATATTATAGAATTGTAGTTTTTTATTTCAAATGTATAGCAATACCAATTGTTTTATTATATAAATAAAGTCGAAATAACTTCGTGCAAAAATATGTTTTATACTAAAAAAATTATACATACATTTTATTTATATATTTTTTTCTATATTATTATTATTTTTATGTTTTAAAAACATTTTTAGAATATGCCAAAAATATTATGTGAAGTGGACATGTAACATCAATAGAACATTTCTATAATATTAAAATATATTACTTATGACGTTCTTTACATTATAAGAATATTGTTTTAATATTTAATAATATTCATATGATATTCTAGGAATATTTAAGCGACCAATAACGCATCAATCGTTTATCACGATCTAACGTTATTAATCATTGAGCCCTTATTATAGTCATTGAGATAGTGTCTCGAGATATTTTCCTTGTTAGTAGTTCTCCCGACAATTTTTCCAACAGTATCGCTTATCGCATGCTTCCGCGAGTCTCTTATCGTTTCTACGTTCCGCATTGATTTTGTCCGCGTCGCGTCAATCGTCATTTGCCATCGCACAGATCCCGCTTTATCGACAATCTCATCCCGGTACTCACAGCGTCCAAAATCGAACGAACTGCCGCCGATACGATGAAGCGTCGAGCTTTCGGAGGGAATTTGAACTCCTTCCTAAGAGATAAGCAACTGAGTGTCCCCGTTTCGAACGTTGTTGTTGCGCATCTCCCGATAAGAGTAAAAATCGTATCGTATCGTTGACAACAGAAAGTGGACTGGTCGAGAAACTGGACAATATCAATAAGATCGAGAGTGATTTTTCCTCTCCAGCCGAGTCATCGAATAGGCGGATGTATTTGCTTTTATCAGCGTTATCGTCGCCGTCGTCAGATTAGGCGTTGCGCCTTGAAGCGTGTCTATCGTGTCGACATACATCGAGACAGTGTCACCGTCTTCTCGAAGTGTATTCCCCACCACGTGTTCCACGCCAGTTCGACTTCCGAGCTTGCCTCAAGCACGCACGAAGCCTCCTCTCCTTGATCTCGTCCGCGTTACAATTGTCGCGCCTCGAATGAACGTGGACGAGAGTCGGTTTCGCGCGTCAACAGCGTCGAGATCCGAATTCAACGGGATTGTCACTGCGCTTACGATTTCCTCCCGTCGTCCGTGTCCCGTCGACCAGCGATGTTCGCCAACGAGGTGCAGGCGAAGGTGGCGTCGATGGTGGTGATCGGCGCCGGCAGCTTCATCGTCGGCATCACGCCCGCCTGCTTCGTCTCCCACGCCGAGCACCTGCAGAAGAAGCTGCTGCTCTCCTGCACTCTCTGCTTCGGCGCCGGTGTCCTGCTGGCTACCGCGATCTTGCACATGCTGCTGGAAGTGCGCAAGGATTTGCCGGAACACGCCGAGCTGGTGTTCACCTGCGGTTTCCTCGTGCTTTACTTGATCGAGGAGTGTGTGCACTATTTCTGCCCGGGCGCCGGTCATGAGGCCGAGACTGATCCTCGGAATCCTGCTCGCAGGATCACGCACGAGCGAGGGTAGGTACGTGCTGAGGGAGCTTCAGTGCGATCGGTATGCTCACCGATATTCTCGGGTGTTTAAATATAACTCGCCGCAGTATGATGCAAGGATCCAAATTTAAGCCCGGCTTCACAATATCCAGACAGCACTAAACCGAAAACAGGAACATAAGACATCTTTAAGGTAGCTTCAAGACGTCTTAAAGTTATCCTTACATACGATGTCTACAAGATATCCTCGAGATGTCTTAAAGGTGTCTCATGTCCTGGCGGGTAGACGTAGCGAATCTTCAGCCTTTTACTCCAAGCACTAAATTGTGACGTAATTTCTAGCGAAAAGCACTATCAACACTACCAGACGTCGCAATTCCTAAGATTTAAGCGTTATTATGACTTCCGATAGTTCAAGGAACGCTTTTTATCAGAAATCACATTCCACTTTGCTGCGTAGACCAAAGGCTGAAAGCTTCTCAGTAAACATCAACTGACTGATAGTAACATTACATCAATATTATAATTTCTCACTTAACAATATAAATATAATATGACATGTTTTATATAATAGTTAAATTGTTAAGTGAGGAGTTATAACATTGTTGTAATGTTACTGTTAGTTGGTGTTTATTGGGTTGCCACACCTATTGCGGACTAAAAGGGGGGGAATATTAATAAATATCTCGTTTCTTTGTTTTCGACAATTTCTATATCATACGTGGTACGCTATTATCATTTGTTATCGGCGATGGTGCAATGATCCCTTATAGAACGTACGACGAGACTGTTATTGTGTAAAAGTTATCAAACGTTCGTGCAATTATCAGTTTACCATTGAAAATATATCTCTGTCACGATCGATAACTTGATAAGCAGCACATGAGAAATATACAACTGCGATTGAAGCAATTCGATTCAATTACGTCTTCGATTACGTAATTGTCGGGAAAATCTTTCGCTCTTTGTGACTTCGAGTGTCCACGTGAATCTCTCGTTGGATCAAATCGTGCCGAATTCCGGTCGGAGGAAAATTATGCGGCCGGCGTTTGGTAAATTGGTGCGAAGAATGCTGCGATAATCTCCGTCTTTCCGCCCTTAGGGAAGAATTACGCGGTCGACCTCGAGATATATTGATATAGCAGGGGCTTAATGTGTGAAGATAATGGCGAACGATATATTATTTTTGCACCATTTTCCTTTGTCCAATCGGGTGGAGCTTATCAAAATAAATTCCGGTGTTACGTTAGCAATAGCGATGTCTCGCGTGGAAATGATCGTCGACACTAAAGCGCTTCGATTCTTGACCCTCGGGCGTTTGCCGCGCTGAAGAACGAGCGGGCTCATGGCGGAACTATACTCATGGAAAATGATCACTCGAGCCATTGTTGGACATTGACACTCAATATCAGCTTCCGTGAGTTGCGAGTCTATCCACTAGATTGCCTCGACACTCGAATACCACCGGCTGTTCACAATACACCGAGGTCGAGTTTCTCGTGACGTATGGTGGCGACTCACGAGGAGGTCGAGTTACTCATCACTCTCAAATGTCTCAATGATGATGCGTTTAAATTTCGAAAACACTCGAGCTATCTAGAAACATCTGAGTAGAAATGTATCTGGCCGGTCTGAATCAAAAACTAACTGGTCAACACATTTAGTTATTGCTGTATAACTTGGAAATAAGAAGCTATGTAACGAAAATGTTACAACTGTTATGGCGGGGTATAAAAATCTTTTACAAAAGCAGAAGTGAGCGTTGAATTACCGCTCAACAACTAGTTATAATATTTTTCATCCTATAACTGTAATTTCTTTTGTTTAATCTTCTATAGCTGTAATTTCTTTTGTTTAATTTATTTATCGAGCTACTACTTACATCGAGAAATCCATTTGGTTGAATGAAATTTTGTTTGGATATGTGGGTGCAAATCAATGTTTTGATTATGAGAACCAAGTTATTGTTACAACCAACATTCGTTTACCCACATCCAAACAAGAATTTATTTGATTCAACTAAATGAGTTTCTCAGTGTGGCTATTAGGAGAAGTGAGCGTTACATTATTGACTAGTAGTGACGTTAGACACAAATTTATTGCTTCGCGGTTAGACACCCGCGAGATTCAATTTCTACTAAGGTTGACGCACTAATTTCCATCGACACGCTCGAGAATTACTTGCGCGTACGGGATAGACGGTCGCGCAAAGCTCCGATGAATAAAATTCAGCGGAAATTTGACAGCCTCCTCGACGAACGGGGGAAAGCAAACTCGAACGAGATTCGCGATATACAGTCCCTGGCCATATTATTAGACGCACTTTGATTTTTTAGAAATACAGAGTTAGGAGAGACTTAGAATACAGGTTAGGACAAGAAGAGCTATTAATTTTATATTTACTCAATTAGAATAATTTCGGTGTCAATCAACGCTTTTATCTCTGCAACCTTCTGAGGTGTCACTCGTTTTATTCAGAATTTTTGTAAATAATATTAATATTTTTCACACGAAAAATTCATTTCTCTGTTAGTGAGTAAGGAATTTGAAGTTTCAAGTAAAAAAATGAACAAAAATAATACTGAATTTCAATTGTGACATATACGCTCAAAACACGCCCGTTCTCTTTATTATCAACTATGCAACTAGCGCGGGTTCATACCTGTTCATTGCAACAACGAAGTGAAGTGACGTTATAAAAAATACCTTTCATAATAGAATTTTAGAAAAATGGCTTCCTTAAAATTCCTAATTCGATCGATAGATGAACCGTATTACAAAGCTCGGAAGTCAATGAAACGTGGAAAATTAAGATGCGTCTAATAATATGGCCAGGGACTGTGAATTTCGGTGACTTCGCGCGATTAAACACCGTTTGTATCGTCGAGCGACCCGAATTCGCCCGGCCATATCGACGCGCTATCGGCGTATCTTTGCGCGAGCCATTTCGCTTTGATCGAATTGCATCTCTTGAATTTCAGCGCGAGCTGTCGGGACCATTCCCACAGTGTCGGTTACAACGCCGCCACACAAGACAGTAAGGTTTATATATCCGAGGGTGATTCGAGATTACCGCTCGTCTATCGGCAACCCTCTACTCCTAACAATGGCAATAACGCGTGGACTATCAGCAGCTACGGCACGACGGGATGCACGCGTACCGGTTGCTCGTCGAGCAACGACGAGGCCACGTTCCTGTGTCACACACACCAGGGCGAGCAATGCACTGATTCCAGCACCGGTCTCACCGGTCTCGCCCTCGCCCTGACCGTGCACGCTGTGCTCGAAGGACTTGCAATAGGGCTGCAGACGCAGATAGCGGAGGTACGTGAATAATAACTAGATGTAAATTCGAGTCGTCACGGTGATTCCCATCCGATGAGATGCGGCGGCGTACGTGAGGACGTTCAAGCTCGTTTCGAATCTCGGGAATTTACGCAAACACAAGTTTATATTTCATTGCACGAGGACAGAAGGGAAAGTATTATTACGCGTACATTATCTTCCACCTCTGGTGCCTTCTGATAAAACGATGCGAAATCGTTATTTTACACGCGCAATTACGCTCGTTTGCTGTTTTCTCAGGTGTTACTGTTGACCGGCGCGGTGGCGTCACACAAGTTCGTCGTCGGCTTTTGCCTGGGGCTGGAATTAACGGGAGTCAGCAAGTCCGTCGCTAAACTAATATTTGCCATTTTTCTGTTCGCCGGCGGGTCCGTCCTCGGAATCGGTATCGGTATGCTGACGTTTCAGGTGAGAGAAAGAGAGAAGGGAATCTCAAGGAGATCCTTCGCATTTTTGGATGCTGCTGTTTAGCATCAGCTTCACGCCGGTGAAACGTCTGATTCTATCGTTCCTCTTGAATGCACAGGTGGATACGGATTGGTCGAAAGTCGCGCTGCCGATTTTGCAAGGTCTGGCGGGCGGAACGTTGTTGTACGTTACCGTGAGCGAGGTTCTACCGAGGGAAAGAGCGAAGTGGCACAAGAACCCGCGCAGATATGCCGGAATTGTGCAGTTTTTGTCGGTGACCGTCGGATTCGTCCTTATTTTCCTACTTAACAGATACGTAGGCGAATGAATCGATTGTAGGATCCTGTAAATAATTAGGGTCACAACAGGTTCGTCAGGTGGATCTCGCAATTACGCGAAATCGAGTTTTCCTCGCTTTGTACGACACTGATTGCACCCTGCATACGCGAATACGAGACGTACGCGCGACGTACGAGTCAGCGTTACATACTGAAAAGTTCACCGATAACGAAATGTTAAAAATTTCCCTTTGAGCATTCACGAAGGTGGCGCTTAAAATGTTCATAACACAAACATAATTTATATTGATAATGTTTCTTTTCAAAACTTTCGTTAGTAATTTTAGTAACTAATTGGTGACATGAATTTTTAATATACACTGAAAAAAAATTGCTACGTTCAAGTAAATATTTGCTAAGGAGTATTGGAGTATTGGTTTGTTTTATTTGGTCCAAATGAAAAAACTACTCCAATAGCAAATACTTGAATGTTTTTTTTTACTTGAACGTAGCAATTTTTTTTTCAGCACATTGTTTTTACGTAAAAAATAAAATTATTGTTAAATTGATACTCGATACTCTCTTAAACTGCGCGCGAAAAGTGACAACTTTTTAATTTTTATATTATTTCAAAAAGATCACGTGTACAAATATAAAATTTTATATACACGATTGTCGAGACACACTGATTGCAAGATCCACGTTTTATTTTATGAGACGCGCTACGACTATTCCCGAGATTGTTCCACGTTGTCCACAAAAGCACCGTAGCTAATTTCTCTCTTTAGATTTTCATTTGGAATATGTTCGCTGAGAGCTGAGAGGATAACAAATAACAAATGTTACTCGAATACTTTTCCGTCGCAAAGCGCGACGCTTCGAGAGAAAAAGGCAATGTGTTTTACCGTCGGATTTTTAAGAGTTTACTGGACCGCGAATATTCCTTTTTGTGCTGCTCTAGCATGGCAAAGAAGTGCGTAAAAAAGCGCCTCTTCTTTTTTTTCAGCCGCGATTTCCGGTCCGTCGCGTTCGCGAGCGGAGACATGTATTCGCGAAACGTTTTCGCGGGAATTAGTGCTGCAGAGAGCCGCGTCCGACAACGCTGCGAGAGAGATTAATCTCGTCGCGGAGGGAACATTAATTACGCGGAACTGTTTGAGGCAGAGATCGCTCGAGCCTCGTCGGATCTGCCAAATGGAAAAAAGCTTAGAATAAGTCCCTTACGTTCATTCTTCGCTGAAGCTCCTCCGGCGTAAACCAGCGGCAATTCTGCGACGGACTCGATCCATTAGTGAATTACTCGGACGTAAGAACGAGCAGCTTTAAGGGGACACATATAGCTTTCAGAGGATATAGTCCTCGCGACTGTAACAGAAATAGTGAACGAACTACATTACGCGTGTTTATTTCGTTTGTTTATTGTTTCTGTCCAATTTTATATATTTCGATCAATTTCAGATTGATCTTATTGTACGGTAACTTTATGTCTTTTATTGTTCATCACACGTTACTCGACTGATTTTTTATAACTTTCCGTGTGGTCGCATACATCCCATGTTATCGAGACTAATAGTTTTATTTATAATATATATATATATAAAGATGTTGTTGTTATTCAAGGTGTTTTAAGAAATTATTGTGCAGTTACAAAGAGAAAAACATTCCTTTGGATTTAATAACTCTTTTTTAATTAAAATAAATTTGTCTTTTGGAATAGAACAAATGAATGTTTGATTCAATAAATAGGATTGATTCCTTAAACAATAACTATTTATTAAATAACATATTTCATTTGTATTTTCATCTAAACATTTTAATGATTGTCGTGAGCAATAAATTATTTAAAAGAAGTAACACTATGTTAGAAAAATATTTGAAAATTTCTTTGT